GTTGGACTCCTGCGTCAAAATGTCGAGCTACCACATCTTTTAGTGGGTGCGGGTCGAACGACTGTTTTCCTGTCAGTCGATGTCTGATGCCCTTGTCCTTGAGGTCCACCTCCTGCAGCTCCAGTACTGCTTCCAATGTTTTCGAAGGGGTCACCACCGTCCGAAGATGTTGAATTCTGTTCTGTTTGTCCTTGGCTACCCAACCAGATGACATCAACGGACTTGGTCCCAACACCTGCACTCTCTTGAACGGGTTGGTCAGCTCTCCAGTTTTGTGATGCCATCTCTTGGCTTTAGCCATGACCATCGATCCGAAGTTGACCATTGGCTTCGATCCCACTCCCAGCCTCTGAAGTTGTATGCGAAGTCGTTGAGTAGCAGCATGCCTCAGTGCGCATGGCCAGAGCGACGCCTCCACCTTGCTGGTGTGAAGAAGGAGCCTCATCCTTCGCTTGAGCTGCAGGAGCTCTGCTTCCACCCTGCCATTTGACTGGCTATCATCCTGGCCTGCACCCACTTGGCCACTGCCTTCGTGAGGAAGGACTTCTCCCGGTCCGAGTGCAGCCGGCATGGCCGCACTCCCAGCATCCTGTAGTGAGCATGGACCTTGGAGAGCGCCTGCACGATGTCCTCCACCGCTCGAGATTGCATCGGCTCTGCAATCGTGAGGTTCTGAAGTGGAACCTCTTCCTGAGCTCGCTCCAGCGCACTTTCATGTTCAGCTCAGCCACCTGTTCCTCTGTCGCCAATTCCACTTCCTCTTTCTCCTCTTCAATCTCCACCACATCCTTGACCTCCGACTCATGGTCCAGTGGTTCCTCTGGTGCCCCAGCTAGATCCTTCACTATCGGCACCGGGATCGTCGCCACCATCACATACCTGCACCACTGGTTCAATCCAAGGTCTCTCCCCTGCTCAAACGGACCCATGATGTCCACCGCCATCACGAAGGCAGACGAGGCGTTTCTGGAGCGTCGATGTGGGCTGGAGAATCCCATTGCTTCCACACAATCCCGACAATCTCTCCTGTAGGGAACGTGCTCTTGCTTGATGTGCCTCTTCCATTCCTCCACATCCATCTTGGCCAATCCGATGTGAGCTCTCCCCCCAAACCGAAGATTCAAGGCCAGTCCAATCGCCTTCACCAGCCCACTGGACCACCGCGCCCACGACCGAGATGCTTTCATTCTCTCCTGTAGCCCTCCCTCCACTGGGTCCGCCGATCCTCCTCCCCTGAGTCCATTCAGATCTTCCAGGCGACGAAGGTTGGTCAGCAAACTAGTGGGCTTTCGCCGGGAGTGCCCCGTTCGTCCTTGGTCGAAGCTAACCAAGCTCATTCCATACTCGTCCACCATTCTCCTCAACAATGGCCATTCAAAGAAAGATGGGTGATCATGCCCGGCATCGACTCCATCTCCCACATAGCTTGCAGGGTCCTGCGGAGATTCCAGAAGAAATGCCACCGGATCAGGTCCTTCCCGATGCTCCTCCGCCAGGTGCCATAGCCCCACCTGCTTCACCACCAGTGCGGAATCCCCTCGCACCTGTTCACGTTCCCGGGCCGTTAGCCCCTCCAGGCCCCAGCGATCATCGCCACGACCTCTCACTCTCCTCGGTCCTGGCGGCCCCTTGCACCTCAATCTGCTCGTGGTACGACAAGGCGGACCCCCAACCACTCCTTTCACCTTCCCGGATCTGGCCAGCGAGCACACGTAGCTCCACACATTCGCGTTGTGCACATTGAAGCCATCTCCCAACTCCAAATCCAGGAAAATCCAATCCATGTCATCGGGCAGTGTGCCTTTCCACCTCCCTGTATCCGCTCCAGAGAAAAGGTGAATCACCAGGCCACGACTTCGCTGATGTCGACGCCTCTGACGTCTATTCCAAGGCAGCAGCTCTGGGCTCGGTTCACTCGAAAACCCAACCATCATCTCCAGCACATCCTCCGGCACGTCCGGCATGATGCTACGCCACCAATTCCAGTCCACTTGGGACAATCTCTTCCAATTCTTCTGGTTCTCTTCAAACTCTGCCAACATCACCATGGCATCCTTTCTATTCATGACAGGGCACCCCGATCTCAGCCAACACTTCACAGCTCCAAGCTGCTGGTGCATGATCGTGCAACCCTGCCCATTCCAGTGAATGGCATACCCATTCTCCACTAGCAGACTCAGCGGCAAGATCGGCTCCACTGGCTCCAAGGACAAGAGGGTGTCAAAGTCCGGGCGCTTGTACAAAGTTGTACATCCATGGGCAAGCTCCACCGTCACAGGCTGCAACCTCCCTCGCTCCTCCTGTCTTGCCATTCTCAATGGGTGAGTAGCTCCACCATCCAATAAGGCTAGCTCCAAACCCTCATTGGTATCTGCCACATGAATCTGCTTCAATCTGAAAGTCTTCATGCTGCGGAGGGACTTCAAGAGGGATGTGGCCTCAGTGATCAGCTCCGACGTCGGATCACCCTTCTTTTCCAATTCAACTCCACCATCCCGTCCCTTTTCTCCTCCACCTGCCACCGGCCGTGTAGCCGCGGACAAAGAGCTCGTCAATGAAGTAGTTCCTGACTTTTCATTCGGGCCAGTCTCCTCCTTCTCCGACGTCCCTTTCCCACTTCCCTTCAACTTGGCCGTCTTTTTCCCATCCTTCTCCGGTCGCTCCCGACCATACGGACAGTCCTTCGCAAAGTGGTTCTCCCCGGAGCAGTGAAAACACCTGCCCGTCTTGTTGATGCCCTCCCAGGCATGGGCGAAAGTACAGGTCTCTCCCCGCTTGCACCCACCAGTCGTACCCCAGTAACGGCATGGATGTTTCGTCTTTGGTGGTCCATCTCCGCCTCCGCCTCCTCCACCCAAGGCCTTAATCGTTGGCTGAGCTCCTGCTACCGGTTGAAGGACTGCTCCTGCGCCGGTATTCTTGGCCGACGAGGGATGCGGCATAGTCAACGCCAAATCCTCCGTCTCAGCCTGGAGAAACTCTGCGAACTCCTTGGTAGTGGTTAGCGTGGGCCTCCGATCGACCTCAAGTTCCTGCCGAGCTGCTGCAATCCTGAATCCCACTTGGCTTCCTCCATGCTTCGTGAGGTTCTCTGCAACCTTGGACAAGGCCTGAATCAAGACCATCGAGTCCGGGATCGCCACATGCAACTCTTCAGCTCGACAAATCCACCTGCGCCAGGTTCGGATAGCGCCCAGAGTATCCTGAATAGAACTGCCGCACTTCACCTCCGTCAGGCTGCGCAACAGATTTCCCCTTTCTGCATTTCCACCAGGTTGGTAGATGGTGAAGAGCTTGTACAAAATCGCCTGAGTCGCCACTCTTCGACTTGCAACAATGTCCTTTCTCACCGGTTCCGGGAGCGCGGCTAGCAAAGTCGAGCTCGCCCGCTGATCCAATCGTTGGAACCGTGGGGACACCTGCTCCTCCACCTTGATTCTCAACCGCCCCAATGGCGTCGCCAAGAGCCACTCATTGTACTTCACCTCCACTTCTCGCTGTACCCAATCCCAAAACTCCGGAGACGACGTACTGAGGTCTCCCATCAACGGGGAAATCACCGTCAGCCAGTCCCCAAAGAGCAGGGCCGCATTCTCAGTCGAAGGTGATGGCAACTGTGGCAATTCCAAGTTCCGCATTGCCTCAGGCAGTGCAGCTGTCACTGATTCCAGCGGCTTCATCACGCTCGCCGCCCCAATCACTCCACTTCCATGACCTCGAGGATCGTGTACTGGAGCAAGACCAGGAGGAGTGTCAGGTGGTCCACCAAGCTTGGTAGGTTCCCCCACTGGCTCCTGCTGCCCCTCTGCCTTCGCACTCGGCACAGAAGTAAATGATGCCGAATCTCCAGCGTCCGTCATCTTCTTCACCTCCCGAGCAAAGGTTTCCTCAGCCTCCCTCAAGATGCGTTCTCGAAGACGTTCAACATGTCCCAGACCTGGACTCTGTGCAGGATGTTGGCCTCTGGCCCCTTCAGATTCCCGAACATGTGACTCACCCTTGGCCGCTTGCTGCACTGAAGTGCTCCAGAAGGGATTCACCGTCCCCAATGGTCCCACCGGGGTGGTGGGATAAGGCTCCAGCACCCGAGGATGTAGGTCATCACGTCCCGCTCCAGTCATGTAAGGTGAAGCTCCCATGCGCTCCGTTTCCACCCCGCTCTGCCGCAAAGGAGTGCCCGCCGCCAGCCCGTGCCCTGGGAGAACTCCACATCCGGTACCGGCATGACCTCCCTGATCACCGGGCCGAAGAAGAGGATCAAGTAGGGTCGGCTGGGAACTGGGCCTTTGAAGAGCATGCTGCAACACTTCAAATGACTGCCGAACTGCCTCCTGCAAATGCCCAAGCCCCAACACCTGGCCTCTTGGGTCATTCAGCAACTGTCGAATTTCCGGTGTTCCCTGGTGGCCACTCGATGCCGTCACAGCTGAATGACCTCCATGGCCACCACCCGCGCCAGCAGCCACGCCCAGCCGCTTCACTTCCGCCGCTGCCACCGGCACTGATTGCGCCCTTGCCGCCTTCGCCTTCATCTCCTCCTCGATCAAGGCATCCAGCCGGCGGTCCGCAGCTCCGACTTCCAGCGGCGCCGCGGCCTCTTTCCTTTCCCGCGACCGCTGCTGCCGTCGCCTCCGCTGCTCCATGGGGACCAGCGACCCCTCTGTTCACCCAACAGCAGGGGGTGGACTTGGAAAATCCAAACAAAAAGATCACTTTGGGCTCATAACCTGTGGTTATGAAATGGGATGCCCAGCGCGTCGGGCCTTTTCAAACCTTGAGCCAAAAGTTCGATGAAAACACTCGTAGCGCTTGGCTTTCTACGAGGTATGGTTGTACACTTTTCGATTTGTGTACTTCCAGAATCACAGATTTAAACTGCAAGAACGAAGTCTTCAACAACGTGGAAACTGAACGCTACAGACCCTCAATCTCCTGTGGACAGCATGGCATAAACACTCTTAAGTTGGGGGAGCTCAAAAAGACAAATGCCACCAAGTGTCAATCACATTCTCAAAGTCTTCGAAGTCCGAAGCCACCAGCAAACTGAGCCCCTGCAGAAAAGATGAGATTTCTTCCTCAGGGGCTCACCATTCACTCCATGACAGCTCGAACCGAACGGAGGCTCGGTCGCTACGTCAAAAGTCTATCTCCAACACTAATGCCATCCCTGCTTGTTTCATGATGATGCATGCTGGAGCAACAATGAGTTCATGTCCTGAATTTGATGCATGCTTTCGAAATGAGCACTCTGCACTCAGGAAGAATCTTTGAAACCAGCTAGGAAAGCGCTCCAAATGCTGAAAGAAGGTTTGGGCTCGGTTTGCTCACCCAAATGATACTCAAATAGTGGAACTCCCCAGAGTCACCATGGAAGTGGACAAGTAGAGGAACTTATGGCTTCTAGCTACTCTTAGCGATGGCCTCCACCCTAGTAGCGATGGCCTCCAACCTAGCGGCTTCTAGCTACTAGTAGTAATGCCCTTGTTACTAGTAGCGATGCACTTGTTACAACTTAAGTAGTGGTCACCTTTCAGAAATGGTTGAGCTCACGCTGTCCGTTTGGACCTGGTCATTCGCTAAGCAGTCCTCTGACTGCATCATCTCAGGCAAGAGTTCAAAGGGAAGCTTGCCTGCGAGCAATCACTATCAAACCCCAAGGTCTGAAGATCTGTGTCATCCTTCAATGTCTGTTTTTCGTGCGATCCTCACAATTATTCAAGGGGGCCTTACCTTCTTTCATCTCTTGGACTCAGAGCAAAGGACGCTACTAGGAACAAGTGCCACGCTACTAGGAACAAGTGCATCGCTACTAGTAACAAGTGCCTTACTAGTAGTAACAAAAAGAATTTATATAATTAGAATTGTAATTACTAGCAAAGGAATCTACTAGGACCTCTCAGCTTCTCCTAGCCTTCAGCGTTCTTCTGGAGCAAAAGCTCTCGCCACCGGCTTGCTGGCAGCAGCCGAGAGAGCGTGCCCAGGAGCCGCGCATCCCTCAAACGAACCGCCTCAACAGCTGGAACCCATCCTATGCGGTCCTATTGTCCTTGCGGGGAGATAGGCAGCTAATATAGTAGAGCTAGTTGGAAGCTACTGGGGACTGGAGAAGGCTCTGTTTCTTCAAAGAAGCGAAAGGCCTCCCTTTTGACGAACCATTTGCATTAGTGATTTGGTTCCTAAATTTTCAGGGAAACCTTTAGACCGTTCTTTCTTCCCTAGCCCTTCCTTCCTTTCCTTTCCTTTCCCTCCCTTTCCTTTCCTTTTTGGATGGCTTCATGCAATGCGTCCAACTGGTGGATCTATTTGGGGGGTATGCTTCGAGGCACCCACCCAGTTTCCAGCCTTATGGATGACACCCTCAGAGTTAGTGTAGATCTTCTCAGCTATCCTCAAGTCGCAACGGGTTCCAGAAGGAGATGACATGAGGAGTCGTCAAGATCTGTGGTTTCTCTACCAACCCTTGGTGTTTTAGAGTCCTCCCATAAGTCAGTACAGTTCAATGAAATGACTCCTCCATGTCGCAATATTGACCATCTCTACATGGCAAAGCCACCCTTCACAAAGGTGACCTCTCTCCACGCTTTTGCTCGGCGAAAGAATCATGGTATGAACAGCAACACAAAGGCCAACAACAAGAAGAAGAAGAAACAAGTATCTTTAAAAGGCTATTCATCTCATTGCAAGTATCTCTTTGCAATAGAAACATCAACGCCAGGAGGGGTTGCTCATTCGTTGGAAAGAACATGTTAAAAGAATCCAAATAAATCAAAATAACTCTTACATGTTGTGTTTAATGTTTCTCAGTTTCTCAATAAAGAATAGAAACCAATAACCTGTTTGAGGAGCTCATTAAGGAGCTGCTCTTTGAGCCACGCAGCGCAATCAGAGTGGCATTGAGGTCTTCCGATCGCTCTGCCTTGGACTGGCCATACAGTAGGTCCGCAGGTAGGAATAAATCATAGTTCTTTCGAAAATGCTCACTTATGTGTTTCCGTCCTACCGTTCTGAGGGTTATTTATCTTTTTTGTTCCAGGTGCAATTCGCTGAAGCCTATCCTAGGACGAAGCAACAGCACGGCCTGCCTGAATCTGCAATACAGCTCCTCGACAAAAAGGACAACGCGCCTGCAAAGTTGATTTTGACGGCTCCAAAGGACCGGAAAAGCTTGTTGCAGGTGAAACGATTCCCATCTCAAACAGAGATGTCAAACATGATCAAAGTGACAAAGCAGGGCAGGGATTCGGCCTCAGAATCAGGTGATTCAAAAAGCCACCGATTTGCCGCCTGCCAGCGACATGCTGTGCAGTTTTACGGGCGACTTTTTGACAAGTCAACCAGCTCTGCCCGTGATGAGCCTAAAGAAAAGGGCAACAAGAAAAGATTCAAACAACCTGATGTGCACAGTTTGTTCAGGCATTGAAAACAAATCACATAGCCTCCAAGTCCATGATGTGGGCAGGTTGTCCAACACGAACATCTTCATCCTGTGCGTCAACTTCAGTGCTTGAAAAATGTGATTCCTCTTCAAGTCATGCACTTGCGGCACCGTACGCCAAATTGTAGGCCTCGTGGATAATTCGAACTGGTTCCAACATAGGAGTCATTTGGATTGGACACCTGAGTATATACATGATCTGCGTGCAAACATAATTGGCTTTAAGCAAAAAGGAGTTGATATGAGTTGTTTGTTTGATCGTTTTCTAGGAACAACATCCAAACTTTGCCGCGGCTCTCGGGGCAGTTCTCCAGCTCTTTCTGCAGAAATGTTGTAGCATAGAGCTGAATCATGCTGGTTGTGTTGCTTCGGGCACATTCCTGAGTCGGTACCAGCAACGGAAGAAACTAATCTTCCCATCTCATGTTCTGTGGCCACGCGAGGTAAAACTCATGACTAAAAGGACTTACTGTGGGTGCTAAGGCTTCCACTTGCAAGAAAAAAATTACAAAAACACGTAGTATGCCTAGTTGCTGCCATCGTCGCATCTGGCAGGAATGTGCAAAAGTATAGGGGTACTACAGCTTGGGAGCACCAACACATGCAACCAGTTGATCAAGCCGCACCAGTGCGTTCACCCAACAGTGGTCTCCAAACGTGCATAGGGCCTAGGTGCCTACGCCCAATAACTGATTCATCTCCGTAGTGTCAGTGTTGGACTGCTCACCGCTCACCTGTGTTTTTGTTGTGCAGCTGACATTTCCTTCCGCAATACGTTTGCCTCTTCCCTCCAGTTCTTCCTCGCCAAATCAGAGAAGTGTCTTCGCTTGACACAGTCAGCTGGCCAGCATGAAGTCCAGCAGCCAAGTTTTGGGGCGGGAAACTGTGATATCTCCACCAACGGCTTCGCTCTCCCAAAGTAGTTCTCAGCCACTTCCAAGTGGCAAGCACCAGACCCAAGAGCCAACTCCTGAAATATCAGAGTGATTGCTTTGTCACAAACCACACAGCATTAATAGCCAGAACATGTTTATTTTGCCGTTGTGGATGTCTAGACCTCTGGAAAAAGGATGAAAGACGCACGATGGAGAAAACAAGCCCCCGAATGAATCGTGAAGCCACGCATGCTGACAAGCTGCGTGCAGCTCACCAGCTCAGCAGCTGTTTGAAGAAAGAACAATTGCCAAGAGCTAGCCATGCTGCACTGCAGATGTCTGCAGAACCAAAGGAAAGCGTCAAAAGGAGTGATGAAGAGAATACAGACTGGACGCTCTTGGATTTCCTCGTGGTTGGGGGTTCCTCTAACCGTGTCAGAAACCTGCGCAAAATGTTCAAGGTCCACATATCAAACCATCTTTCCTTATGGAGAAATCCGTTGCCCGCCCTGCACATCCTGCACAAAACAGAGAGGCCTTAAGTCCTTGGTCACCGACGAGCCGGTCAAGTTTGACTCATTTGTGTGGCTTGCAAACGGCAGATGCTGGACGTTCGATAGAAAAGCTCTTCTTATATAATTGGAAGCAGTAGTAACAAAGGGCATCGCTACTAGGAGCATTCTTGCTACTAGTAACAAGAAGACACTAGTTGCAGGTCTCAAAATGCAGAGGCTTTGCAGTCAGCCAGTGCAACACGCTATCCAGAACTGCTGATGAATGCCAGATTTATTGCTCGCTTATTCATTGAACATTTCGCCCCAAAGATGCAGCGGCATTGGAACTTGCGCATTACAGCAGCTCCACTGGGCCGACAGGGTCCACCCGGCCATGTGCCCACTCCACAAAAGTTCACCAGTCTCTTTCAACAAGATGTGGCCCCACCCACCCACCCACCCACTCACCCTCCTTGCATACATCCTGTGGAGATGGGACTGTGAAACAATTGAATTGTGTCATACCAAACCGTCTACCTGTACTTGCTGGCAAGCTGAAAATATAAAAGCCCTGTTAAATTCTTGGATGAATCCATCCGGTTGGACAGAACTCAAGGCTAACATTATATACAATAAAACAAAAACAGTCTCGGCTGCCGGACTGTCAAATCACCTCCGCGGTCTGTTCTCCCTCGCAGAAGCCATGGAGGACTTGGTGAAGTCCGTCTTTGAGCCGCACGTGTTGCAGTGTTTCAGCAAACAAATTATAAGCAAAGGTGTTGTGGCAGGTCTGACTTCCACAAACATGTGCAACATGTTTTTTTCAAGCCATCTCATAGCCTTCCGCAGGTCTTCAAGGATTGGAGGAGACGGCTCATCTTGCTTCCCCAGTCCAACATGGATATGATTCTTTTCTAAACACTCTGGCACACTGAGTACTGTTGATAATGCAAATAGAACCAGGGGATGAAGCACTTTGAAGCTCACTTCTCATTGGCACCACTCAGCACCATGTACCTGATCACAGCTTGCTCGAAGCAGACAGCAAACTGAGCAGGGGCTCCGTGGACGGCGCACGGCTTGGCATCGGCCGTCTGCGCATGCCGAAGTGCCCTCACGGAAAAGAACACTTCAATTGGTTCTCAAAACAAACTAGAAAGCAGTATACTAGGAGACAGGACGCTACTAGCAACAAAGGGCATCGCTACTAGGAACAAAAAGCTACTAGTAGCTCCTGGCATTACTACTAGGAGCAAGGGCGCTACTAGATATAGCAGGCATAGGAATATGAGGGGGGTCCATCTTGAGACGATCCCGAAGCAATCCCAGAAAACACAGGCATTCGACAGCGAAGCAACAACACAGCAGCTACGGCGGCCCTGGATGGCCTGAGTGTTGGTAGAGCTTCGATCACATTCATGCTCTTCCTTGACAACAGGACATGATTGGATGTGTCCGAGTACTCACATCTACAATTTTGGGTGCATTGACTGTTGAAACCACCTCGCCAACCGAGCCAGGAAGAGGCCCCAATTTGATATCGGCACGGTGCTCGATGCGCTCGCAGCGCTGCAGCTTGGCGTCAATCTCATCTCATTCTCCAAGCGCAGCAGCCGCCGCTCCATGTTCTTTCGGCCAGGCACCTTCGCTTAACTTGGTCTCAAGCCATGAAAGACGTGACACTGCATCAACTTGCCCAGGAATTTGGCCGAAACCTTCAAGCAACCCTATGCCGCTGCCTTGCCGTGGAACTTCCATGAGATGGAACGGAAGGCCTCCTTGGGCGTTTGCACCTGAAAACAAAGGACTTCATGGACTTCAGGTGCAGAAATCACAAGTGTTGGATTTCTGCAAAAAGGCCCTTTCTGGGTCTTCTCAAGCACTCAGTTGGAAAGTGATTTGTAGCACGATACACCGCCCTGTCTTTCCCGTTTTGGTATTATCCTACTCCTTTCACTGTCTGCTTCTTCTTTAAGTAACTTGTACAGCAGCAATACAAATTCATCTTCTTTGAGGATGCACCCAAAAATGGCGGTGTTTGCACCCTGTGTTATTCTACGAAGCAAACTGGGAACTGGACCCTTCCGAAGTCATCTCTGTATTCAAGCTTGATGTCTCCATCCACTGTAGACATCTCCAATGGACGGTTGTCAAGCTTCCGGATTCGGTGGGAATCCTGCCAGTCACTGAGTTGATGCCCTCACAACCGAGACTTCGAACAGTTTTAGTGTGTCCTTCTGAAAGTTCCTATTGTTCTTTTTTGTTGGACCCTTAAATCCTGTTTCCTTTCTTCCTTTCTTCCTTTCTTTCATTAATTAATTCTGTCTTTCTGTCTTACTTACTTTCTTTCTTCCCTCCTCTCCTTTCCTTTCTTTTCCTTTCCTTTCCTTTCCTTTCCTTTTCTTTTCTAAATACTTGCCTACAACTGATAATATTCACAGCTGGGTGCATCTCCTGATCGCAACCTATCTGTGAACGTGCGCGCAAGTATTCCAAGCCACTGGCACCTACCAGGCATACATGCAAAGCAACTGGCCAACACCCGACGATTTTTGATGGAGGCCATCGCTATTGGGTTGGAGGCATTCGCTATTAGGTTGGAGGCCATCGCTATTAGGTTGGAGGCTATAGCAAGCATAGCATAATGAAGCAACACCAGACAACACCAGACTTGATGCTAGGCATCAAACAGCTCAGGTCGAGAGAGTCCTCAATGAGGGACTGCTCCTGGCAAAAGCAAGTCGTCCAAGTCCTCACTTATCTCACTCACTGCGCCAAGTCTGTCTACACACTCTGCTTTCCTTCTTTTTTCCCTTTCTTTTCTTTCGACCTGAGACCTTTCCGTGTTATATACATCTTTTCATAATTGTGCCAGGTGTGCTAGCTCTTCCTCCACATCCTTCACAGCTGAGACCTTGTTCGTCCAAAGTGGTCCGTTCTGTCACAAAACCATTCTTCTCACACATCCGGTCGCATCCCGTCTGGGCTGCAGACTTCTTCGGCCAGGCCCGCCTTGCGTGCCTTTCGTTCACCAGCTGCAATGCCCTTCCGCTGAGTGGCCTGGCAACATAAGGATCGGAAAATCGGGCCATAACCGTCATAACAGGTGGGAAAACAGTTTTGCAGTTCGCCGGGTGTTCATCTCCTCAAGAAGGGTTTATAGATACTGTGTATCTTGATGAAGTTCGCACATATCATTTAATTTGGGTCTATCCTATTACCAGTAACAGTGGATGATGATGGTCAGTAAAGGCCTTGTTCACCATAGTGTTAATTGTTTACTGACTGTTGCAGGTAACAGGACATACCCAACATCAAATATTGAAAATCGGCTATGGTGATCTGAGCATATCACAGAACTGGCGCAAGGTATTCAATTTGACCCGTTTTTCTTGCTAGCATCTTCTAAGATTGAATTCTTTGCGGACTACATGCCAAATATGCCTCTGCCCTCCCTCAAACCAGAAAAAGCAGCACCTGCTGCTTGTACAAGGTTGACCCTCGAAAGCTCTCGTGCTTGAGTGTTTCAATCTTCTCCAAGGGGGTCTGCACCACATTGCAGAACCTCAGAACCATCCCACCCTATTAGGTTGGAGGCCATCGCTAATAGGTTGGAGGCCATCGCTAGTAGGTTGGAGGTCATCGCTAGTAGGTTGGAGGCCATCGCTATTAGTAACTCAAAAGAAAATTGTTGTTTTTTTTATCTCTTTTAACTTATGGTTTTTGTATTGGAAGCGTCTTCGTCTCCTTCTTCGTGTCTGCATGACTCCACAAGCAACATGCCAGCTGAGTCGCTCCGTGGTCGCGGTCAGTGCCACGTTCGTGTCTGAGTCTTTTTTCAGACCAAGAAGTTCTGGCAAGAACGGTACCAGACTAAAATGATCTAAAATGACGAAACACTACAGAAACAATGACAGGAAACCTCTTGAAGTTTGATGGTAAAGCTTTCTAAAACTGCAAATATCGCAATAGGCTTGCCTCTTTCTTTCTGTTCCTTTACTTCATCATCCTGACACGTCTTGGAGCAAACTGTGGCACGCGTATGGCACACGCAATTTTGCAATCTGTGCTAGGACCAGCCAGGAGCCTCTTCCCCACCCATCGTCTGGATGCGCTCTGAGACCTGAAGCAGAACAGTCTTGGAAATCACAAAGTTTGTCCAAAATACATGAAGAAAAGAAAACACAAAAGAAGCCAGTACAGTATGTTGGAGGCCATTGCTAGTAGGTTGGAGGCCATTGCTATTAGTTTGGAGGCCTGACAAAGAACAAACAGACCAGCTTGTAAAAGGACTTTCACAAGGCCGACAAGGAGGGTGTTTCTATGTTTCTCGCCTGGCATGTCATAGTCTCGCAATCGCATCAATACAAAAATGACTACAAAAGCCACCTGGGTCAAGGCAGCCTCTCCCTTCTTGGTTTGGCCTGCGAACGGAAAGGGAAAACTTGTTCTGCTGAGCAAGAATCTTAGCTGTGTGATAAGCTTCACCCTGCACCAAACACTTGCCTATTCCTAGTGGTTCTTTGCTGTTGTTCGATATATATACCCCGTTGGTTGATACCTTGCTACACCAACCCAGGCGGGGTGGGTTTGGACTTTGATGCTATGCCAGATCTTGCCTGTATCAGCACGTTTCACTAGACGCCGCTGCTTGGACAGCTGCTCGTAGAGCTCCGGATCCTTCCGCTTCTGTCGCTTCGGAGGTTCAGCTTTGGTCACAACAACAAGGAATTGTTCCTGATACATCTGCACAAAGAATTCACTTATCTTTTCCATCGGGGTCACTGTGGATGTACCACTTATCAAACTAGAGATGTAAGCTGACAATATCCGTGTCAAGCGACGGGACAACTCGGGTGGACAAACAGCAGTCTTTTGCGACAACACATGTCCTGTCGAAATGAAACCCAAACATAAAGTTCCAAAATGTTGCCAGCTCCTAAGACCCTGTCATTCCAACTCGTTCATCTCGAGACCGCTTCTATGAGCAAACAGGACAGACTACTTTCCGCCAAGTGGGGCTGGTGCATCTGGAGAAAGGAACAGGAGGACTGAGGTGAGGCACAGTTGCAAAGACTGTACTAGAGAGGACAAAACACACACATAAAAAAAAACAAGATGGAGCCCACGAACCCGAATGCAAACACGTTCGAAAAGCTACATATGTCCAAATGACACTCTTGTAGGACACTCTTGTGGGACACTCTTGTCGGACACTCTTGTAGGAAACTCTTGTGGGATACTCTTGTAGGACACTCTTAAGGGATACGTGGGACACTCTTGTGGGACACTGTTGTGGGACACTGTTGTAGGAAACTCTTGTGGGACACTCTTAAGGGACACTCTTAAGGGACACTCTTGTGGGACACTCTTGTGCGACACTCTTGTGGGACACTGTTGCGGGACACTCTTGGGACACTCTTGTAGGACACTCTTGTATCGCGCTCCCCAGTGGCACGGCGCCACGCAACCACACTTCCCACCCAGGCCGCGCAATTCCCAATGGCACTGCAACATCACGAACGTCGCGTCGCCACACGGTCTGCCCACACACTTGAAGCAAACATAGTTTCGCGCTCCCCCAGTGGCACGGCGCCACGCAAACGCACTTTCCATCAAGGCTGCACAAATCCCAATGGCACTGCGACATCACGAACGTCGTGTCGCCACACGGTCTGCCCACACACTAGAAGCAGTGACGCGAGTGTTTCGTTCGAGACCTCCTCCAAAAGTCACGCTTAGAGGCTGCAAGACGAGCGTTTCGTCTAAGACTTCCTCCAAAAGTCACACGTCAAGTCTCCAAAACGAGCGTTTCGTACGAGACTTCCTCCAAAAGTCACACGTCAAGTCTCCAAAACGAGTGCTTCGTACGAGACTTCCTCAAAAAGTCACACGTCAAGTCTCCAAAACGAGCGTTTCGTACGAGACTTCCTCAAAAACTCACATGTCAAAGTCTGCAAAACGAGCGTTTCGTACGAGACTTCCTCCAAAAGTCAAGCCCATCGGAGCACACACACATCACGCAGCCCTGCCAAGCAGTTTCGCGATTCCAGCCCCTCCAAACAACACCCGCTCACACGCCAATCCCAATGTGACAGCGACATTCACCTCTACCACAACTCACAACCTCACGATTCCCTGCGCCTGCCACGAATCTTTCCGCGTCCACACGTCTAACGCGCACAAAGTACTGCGCCTGCCACGAAATGTCACCTCCGTCACACCTCGCAACCTCACGATTCCCTGCGCCTGCCACGAAAATCGCACTTCCATACCTCAAAGCCCGCACAAAGCACTGCACCTGCCACGAAAAGTGACAATATCATCTCATGAGAGCTTCAACGAAATTTGCACCACACCACACGTTTGGAATGATTTCGACCCGTTCTGAGCACACTCCCATCCACCAAACTCGCCATTTCAGCTGAGACTTGTCACGAAAACAGAGCTTCGACGCAACACCCTGAAACGCAAATCTTTCCACACGATTCCTCGCTATTTCACACGAATCTGACACGTCACGTCTCCATCCGAAACCCTCTCCAAAAGCTTCCCCCAATGGCAGCGCCTTTGCGCTCTCTGCAAACGGTTGTGGACGGTTGCGGACGGTTGCGAACGGTTGCGGACGGTTGCGGACGGTTGCGGACGTAGAAACAACGGGTCGCGAACAAGGCTCTACCCCCAGACCCCCAGAGTTGAACGAGAACCCTTCGCTACGCATTCGGGAATAAACATTTTTTTTTAAAAAAAAATATATATATATATATCCATGATATATTATCCATGAAAACAGTCGGTCGTGGTGAATGCCAAGTGAAGCCTTGGAGCCCAAGACTATGATTCATCTTTGCTCCGCGTGAAGCATTCCAAGAAGGAGTAGTTTGCAGGGGTACCACATTCCAATGGTCAAACCTACAGTGCACGTGAGATATTTCAGGTCACGAGTACAGCGCACGTTCTGTGCGCTTTTTCTTGGAAGGTGAAAAGGCCCAACGTTCCAGGTTGGTGCGTCGATGCCTTGGTGCTTTGGCCAAGGTTGCTCCATTATGATCCTTCAGCACCATGGACCAGGCTCTCAACATGTTCAAAAGTGAGCGGGGAACAAGCTACAGAAAATTGAGGTGCAACAACGGAGAGACTGCAAAAATGGAAGTTGCGCCAGCGAAGTGGCTTCATAGAGCCCCTCGTTTCAAAGAGAAGAGGTCTGTAATCGTTAAGAGCACTTGAAAGCATAAGCTACTAGTATAAGTGCAAGATAGCTCACGCTTCTTCAAGGAAGCTCCCCCGTGCTGGAGTACTGTCCACTGTGCAGGCATATGCGGCAATCATTCGAGCTGCATTCACCCATTGCAAGACCAAGCAGATTGTTGTGGCCCCACTTCATCTCGATAAGGGCAACAAGTGCAATGGGAAAACATTCCCAAAAGGAGCCTTTCATGGTGCTGAAGCCCATCTTGATAACTCTACCTTAGAGCTCCTTGCTCGTGCTTTCGATCGTGGTGCTGCTGCCACTCCTCACTCTTGGTCGATTCCATTCGACCTTCTTCTGTAGATGGTGTACATAGGACAACGTTGACCTCTGTCGCAGAAGCACAGGTGGTCGCCAACTTACTCCGAGTATGGTGTGCGAGAAGGAAGCTCCCCCGGCTGCCCGAAGCTTCCTTGAAGAAGCGCTCGCACTGATGACTTGGTTTCTAGATGTTTAGGGAAACTTAAGCTAACTTAAGTAACAAATGTTTTGACAGCAACCTACTCTAGCTACTCTAGCTATACCTTCGAAACATGTGGTGAGTTGGCGAGTCAGGTCTTTTGGAACGCCAGCTTTCCCCTTTTGAACCAACCCCAAGCCAAAATCCATCCACAGCAGTGTCCTCTTCGTCAGATCCAGCATCATCCGGTCGCGTCGGAGCTGGCATGGTGGCAAAAGGTTTGGTCTCAAAACAAACAGTATTCTTTTTTGGACCCGAGTGGCCCTGCCTCCCCTACTGAATTAAGTGAGTAGTAAGCTGCAGCTCAAGGTTCGCTCCTAGTTAGCTTCTAGTAACTGAAGGCAGGATAGCTCATGCTTCTTCAAGGACTCGCACTGATGATTTGGTTCCCTCTATTTTTAGAAAAAAAACTGAAGCATTGTCCTACCGGGCGTGATTTGAGACATGACACACCTTTTTGATAGAGGCCAAAAAGGGTCTGGGTCCCAAGAGAGCATGGGATGCTCGAAGAATGCCCTTTTGGCTGCTAGAGTGTTCCTTTTGTGCAGCCCTCAGATGAGAAACAAATCGACGCAACATGATTCTGGGGTCTTCTGCATGGCATAGTGTCCACCTTCTGTCTATAATGTGATTTTCCTTCTGAGGAAACAACTCAGATCTTATCGATCTTATATCGTTTGTGAGGCCGGAATGCTTTGAGACACCACATTTTCCCACGGGCCGCAAAGATCTTTCACCCTTTGCACAGGCACTCACAACTGTATTAAAGGCGATTTCGTCAGAGTTTTGAGAAGCGAAAGGGGCATCTTCAAGCAAAAGCACAGCTAGTTGCCACTCTGCACTGCATGCACTTATAGCAGCATTTCTCGATACAAGGTCCGCTCGCAGGCTGTGTCTGAGCTCATCAAACGCTGACAAGGCACCATTCCAGTGACCAGCAATTTCGAGAGCCTTCATTGCTCCAGTGTACACAAAGCTGTCGCATCGAACGCTGTGTACACAAAGCTCTCCGAAAAGTTGCAAGGCTGAGATCCACTTTCCAGCTTTCACGCAGCCACTTGTGAGCGCACTACATGTGACAGCATCCTTCTTCAACGAAGCTCCATGGAGCTCAAGGAGCAATCCCACAGCCTGTGGCCACCCCTCTGCCTTTTCGCATGCGCTCATGGCGCTATCAAAGCTGATAGCGTCAGCTTTGATAGTTTCACCTACTTCGGCCAGTACCACAAGCGCAAGTTCCCAAGCACCGCTGTCACAGCTGGACATGACAGCATTGTAGGTGATGACCTCGGTTTCACTTCATTTGCACAAGTCCATCCGCCTTGCGTGCTACCTTTAGACTCGTAGAAACACACCATCCAACCTAACTCTGCATGTTTTGCGATGGGTGCAAGACAGATTCAAAGCAAAGAAAAACAGCAAATCCGAAAATAAAGTGGCATGTATGGCACCTGATGACATCTAAGCTCATGACATCAACTTGTACCAACTGCTCCTTAGCTCTGTCCAACAAGCCCAGGGCTTGTTGCCACAAACCCGCTGCACATGTGCTGATCATGGCATTGTACGTGATCAGATCCGGCTCTTCGTGCCCTAGCATTTCCCAAAATAAGAGGAGAGCAACTTCCCATTGGCGTTCACATGCACTGATGGCAGTATTGTATGCCACCACGTGTGGCTGTAGATTCTTCCGTTGACACGCAGCCAAAATCCAAACAGCTTGCGTCCACTCCTGGCACGCAAAAACAACAACTTTCTCTTCTGACTTCCATTCTGATGTTCCATGAAACCCCTTAGCGTGAGGTAAGGAGGTGACAGAATGGCAACTACTCCCTCCTGTAAGCAGCACCCCCGACCGAACAGTTGCCCAATAGTTTCAAGAGCCCTTTGACACAGGCCTTCCAACAATCGCAGGTTTTTTGAGTGAAGCAACTACCAATCGTGTCTGAAAAGGCAGAGTCTGACATACACTCTGAAGCTTTACTACCCACTGCAAGTCTGAAAGTTTGACACACCACATTCCACGTTCCAAGGAACCTTGCATTTGCCACACGCATCCATTGCCGCACTGTACATCACTGCATCTGTCCGCACCTGTGATCTTTCAGCGCTGGCAAGCAAAATGAGAGCCAGTTCCCATTTTCCTGCTCGTCCGCAAGCACTGATTGTGGTACTGCAACTGACCACGGTCGGCTTTAAGCCTGATCTTGTTAAGTCTGCAAGTAGCCAACAAGCCCTTTGCCACACAGCCCCACTTGCACATGCAGACATTGCTGCGTTGAAAGTAATGACATCTTTCTCGTGGCGCTTGTGGCAGGCACCCAAAAGCAAAAGAGCTTCCTTCCAGCGCCCCGCAGTGGCACATGCACTGATTGCAGCATTGTAAGAGATCACTGTCGTTTCCAAATTGCACCCCTCTATCTCCGCCAGCAAAAGTAGCGCCGTTTGCCACTGCCCCGCCTTTTGACATGCGTTGATGAGGGAATTGTAGAGAATCACGTCCACAGCTGCTCGGCATTTCTCGAGTCCTGCAACCTGCAGAGCTCTCTGCCATTGCTGCTCTCGGGCATATCTGTTCACAGCAACACTGCACTCCAACAAGTCGCTCTGCAGTGTTACTTTCGTCTGAAGAGGTGGCATATGACTTCATGTTCAAAGCTACCCGGGCGCCACATCCACAAGAGCAATCGGATGAAAAAACGAAGGCGCTCTCAATGAAACAAAGCCAAAAGCTAGCAGTGCAAGACTGCATTGGCATCTATTTAGAGGCCTATTAGGTTGGAGGCCATCGCTATTAGGTTGGTGAGCTCCAAAAGGTTTCTCCACTCTTGCGTGGATTTGTTGGATTCATAAGACTGAAGTGCTTACCAATAATTAGTAGTAAGAATGCTCCTAGTAGCGATGCCAGGAGCCTCTAGTAGCTTCTTGTTACTGGGAATTGAATCTAGCATCTATTTCAAGTCTCTTGAATCCAACAAGGCATGCATTGGCATCACTCGGGGTCCTACGAGTCCCTCTTGTCTACGTCTGCGCTTTGAGAAAAGAACAACTCTATCTATCTATCTATCTATATATATAAGCACTGCAACGATCCAGGATTTCTCGCTCAAGCCACTTGGTAAGGTGCCGGCCTTTCACATGCACTTTTGCAGGATCACCGATTTGGTCCTCCTTGTCTCCAGCCACCTGCAAATAGCAAAGTCTCTTGGGTGAGTCTGACCAATCTAGCAGCCGAGACTTCAAATCTACTTCAATTGACAAGTCACTACTCATTCACCAACCCTACAAAGATTCACAAGTGAAGAAGTCCAAACCAGTCAAAATGAGCCAACCCCCACCAGCTAGAGCCCTGGTAGGTAGAGAAGCTAGACATTTCCCCCAGTCGTCCATGTCTTTGCACATTCAGATCACGACAGGGCCGGCGCCTTGCTCCGGGCTTTCCTTTTAGGCTTTTTCGTTGGCCTTGGTTTTCGCTCTCGGATAGGCTAAGGTGGAAGCCAAGTCTCTGAACATTCATCTGCATCTTTGGAGCAAGCGGTGCGAACAAACAAGTCTGATGACAAGTCTGACAAAAGCCGAGGGTCTTCTTAAACTTTGCCATTTCATCTGAGGTGTAAAAGTCCGACTGGAACTTGTTCCCGAAGTCTAAGGTCTGATTCTCGCTCATTTGCGTGAGGATCGCCAACCTGACCGGAAGACTCAAAAAGTGCACAAGAACGATTATACAAATCAATGGCAAGCAACATAAAGGGTACACTTCGGATCCTTGCGCAAGTCATGGTACCATTACTTGGGGTTAATTTTGAGTTATATAATTTCGGCCATCGGGGATTTCCCAAGGCAGGGAACACCAAATGGCTGCCTGGAGAGGGATCTGATCAACCAGTTTGAACCATCTGTGCTGGCCTTGGCTTGGGATTCCTCTAGTTGTATCCAGTTCACTCACCTCAAAATCCTTTATTTTGACCAAGGAATCCTAAATGGCCCTGTGTGTCTCTTGGGAATGTGGCAAGGCTAGACCTTTGAGGAAAAGACGAGATGCTTGAAAATTAACACGTTTAACAAGTGAGAACCTTGCAGCTGACAGCAACATCTGAAAAGCATTCTTCCAGCAAACTGCTTGCCCAACTTGATCAGCTTGATCCCAGGAGATCCCAGGCCTTTTTTCAGGATCTCGCTCGTCAATGACACCCGTTGGCACTCCTCCAATCATGAATCCAGTTGGAGCAGCTCCAGGTTCATCGTACCTGGGTCCCCATGATGCGATTGGAAGCCAGAAGTGGGAGAGTGACACCCTGAGATTTTGGGGCCATACTCCAACCAACCAGTCTATGGCGTTGTATGCGGTTCCCTTCCTGTATGATCTTGCCAAGTTGATCAAACAAACACCAAACTTGTCCATACTCTCTTCAGGCATCTGCCCTCCCAGGGGCACTTGTCAAGGATGTCTGCATTGGGCTTGGTCGGGTCATACTCAACTTGTGACCTGGTAACATTCCTTTTGTAGAAAAAGAGCCCCACATGTGCAGAACCTCTGGAAAAATGGACTTCTCTGAATCATGTTTGAAGCCTGCAGCTAAGGGTGGCATGAACAAACCTTCCTTATTACAATCTCAAAGATCTCTCCACTGCCTGATGGCTTCGTTCTTCTTGGCCTTGTCGCTATCCAACCTAGGAGCACTCGCACCTATATAAAGCTTCCACCAAAGAGTGAGATACTTGAGCTTGGAGCAAATTGGTGTTCGAAAGCTCATCCTGCCTTGGATTTCAATCAAAAAGCCAAACAGGTGACAATCTCTGAAAATTGCAAGGGTCTAGTGCGAGAATGAACTGAAGAGCAAAGAATTGCAAACGATGGACTTTCAGCAGGGCTTGGAAAGGTCTGGTGGTCTAAACACCCTGCTTCCCGTACTATGACACGATTTCAGTTTGGACTAGAATAGTAAGTGACCCACACCCAAATCACAGCCAACACCCTTTTCTCTGCCCAGCGTCGTCTCCACCAAATTGCCATCCTTGTCGATCAAGCGCTGGTCGCTGAGGGTCATGACCACGGACTGACCATGGACTCCAAGGATTGGAATGTATTGCAATGACACCACAACCACTGGTCGTTTATCTCACCATTGCTATTAGTAGGTTGGAGGCCATCGCTATTCGGATGGAGGCCATCGCATACCGAAACCATGTGCCTCGCCCTCTTTGAAGGCTTCAGAGTCGTGTCGAACCTTCATCTTTGGCACCTTACACGGGCAATTTTTTAATGTGATGCTTCAAGCACCACGTTTTGAGCCCCAAGATCGCTTTCAAACGTTTTCAGCTGCTCGTGGTCATATTGGCATCTGGAAGCTTAGTAGAAATCACTCCGTTTGCTTCGAAGCCGCAGATCTTGAACTCACTATATAGTGGGGACCTCGTGCACGACCCAAGTTGGAGGGATTCAATTACACCGAGGCGCTGAAGAATCTGCACCTGGAGCATCTTTCCTAGCAAAAGGTCCAAACAGACACCCATACACCCCATCTTTGGCCCATTGAAAGAATGGTGATCTCTTTGGGACATCTTTAGTCTTTGAAAGCCCTCCTGAAGGGAATGAAAAAGAGTCAAGTACTTCTGGGTAAAAAGCAGTCCTCTTTTACACATGTGCGCCTGCCAATTCAGCTCCCGCTTCAAAACCGATTGACAATCTTAAAGGGAATCACGGCCTTTCAAGCATGCTAACACCTTGAACTTCAATTTTGGTAGACTCAGTGGTCTTTGCGGTTCTTTCAACCCTTCTTCTTGTCTGTGTTCGGTTTCTTCTTGTTAATGCAAGTTTGGAGCTCTATGCTGACACCCATAAGGACTCCATCGAATTAGATTTTGAAGACATGCGTTTTACCTTTGAGTTCTCACGCGGACCTCGGAGTGTTCTGCGGAAAAAAATAAGCAGTCCTCTTTTTGCCATCGTCTTTCTTCACGTTCACCCCAGCACCCTGCATACTTCCATCAGAACCACGTGTCCTGCACTCGGATACGTGAAGCTGCTGGCGAGTGAGCAGAAAGCAACTGCCAAGTCTGCAAGGTCCTGTTTACCCAGTCTGCCACTCCGCCTTTGCCTTCCTAAGTGCAAGTAGTCGAACAAGTTTCTGGAAGGTCTTCAGAATTGCTTCAAATCGCCTCCTTCTCCAGAATTTCACCCAAGCTGGCACCCTGAGTCAGATCCTGAGAGAACCCACACAAACCATGACGAAAAAGGGAAAACCCATGATCGCAATCTGCAAAACTCCTCATGATCACGCTTGGACTTCGCAGCAGCAGCCTGAGGTACTGACTATTTCAAGTGCAAGGCATTTGCTCCAAAGTTTGCAAATCCACAGGAAAACAAAAGTGGGCGCTGCCTTTCTCTTGGACTCCTTGTCCTTATCTTTGTCGCTGGGATCTACCTTCTTATCGGCCGGCCTGTGCACCTCAGCGGAGTTCACGCTCACAACTCTCTCCTTTCTGTTTGCTGGGCGTGGTGGACACACCCTCACTGAGGCTTCAGACGGGATCGTTGGAGGTGCCCTTGTTGCCTCATAGTGACAAATCATGTGAAAAGGCATCCTGTCACATATCTCAAACAAGACTACACCCAGGCACCCCAAAGCAGCTGAGCACTAGGTCAGTAGGGGACCAACTCTTTGAGCCACTCTCGTCAAGCTTCTTGATACCCAACCTGGCAGATTAGATTGATGTGCAACAATTCTTGTGCCCGGTGAAAACCAATGACCGCCATGTTCCATATGCATTTTGAGGTGAGAGCCCACTCGCACGGTGTCCGAAAAAGTAAACTTTGCCGGCACCACTTCTGTCGGAGCGCATTGCTCTCTTCAACACTTTGGCTAATCTGAGGACGGATCAATCAATGTGCATGGTTCTCTTTCATGAGTCACAAGACCAACCAAACGCTATCAGGCCAATCACTACTCACTCATCACTCAACGTCAATTGGGCTGTGTCAGGTTGCACCTCGCCGCCTTTCGGTGGCATTCTGGACGTAGCCACGGCCAAGCCTTTTCACAAATCCAGTCCAATTGTAGATTTCCTGCTCCAGTCTTCTGGTCATCACCCGTTTCGCAGAAGCTATCTGCTATCTGCTTGGGGTCATGCCACTCAGTGTACAATGAACACACAAAAATCTTCGCATATATAGTTTGTAAAGGGATGTTCATCTGGGTCTTGACCCATGCAAAGCTGTCTTACAAACAGAGCGACACCTGCCGACTTTCCACGCCAAAAGGCCGTGTCCGCCTGCCCGATGCCGCCCACTGCGCGACAGCTGCGGGCAGCGCCGTCGTTGGGCCGATACCAATCCGACAACTGGAGCCCGAGAGAACCGGCGGTGCCAGCGCGGTCAGACATCGGATGCTGCAAAGTGTCGGAAGGCCAGAAGAGCCTACAACCAGCAACAAGTGCATCGCTACTAGTAGCTAGAAGCTACAAGTAGCAAGGTGCCTTACTACTAGTAGCTTCTTGTTACTAGTAGCATGCACTTGTCAGAAGAGCCTACCACTTGCTGCAAACGAAGTCGCACATTTCCCCAACCTCCCGTGGCTCACGGCGACTGCGAGGTCAGAAGTTGACGACGTCGGTTCGTTAACTGGTGCGGGTCGAAAAGCACCCCAAAAAGCGAGGAAACATCGCTGAGATTAGCTTTTCACACTATGTTCAATTTCTTTCAGTTGTAGTGACCGCGCAAATCGACAGAACAGCGAAGCACCCTCTAGTAGTATGTTACTAGAAAAGCATACTTTAATTGTTCTTTAAAGAACCAAAAGTTGTAAAGAACAGCTTTATCATCTTCCTTCTATTTTCGACCCATACCCAACTCGATCCACACTTCGCTCTGTGGGGATCTGCACCGCTTCACTCAGCTCTTTCCCAGCCTTGGCTTGAGAGGACACAAAAGCCATGTTGCTCGGCGAAATGCGGCCGGCCGGCCTTGCAATGACCGTTGGCCCAAGGACCTTCATGTCATTGACAGCCTGGAAAAGCATTATCATTCGCATCAAAATGTTTAAAGATTTCTTGCTCCAGCAATAAGCTCCAAACAAGTTAAGTTTCCCTAAAGATCTAGGAACCAAATGAATAGTGCAAGCGCTATCCTGCGTCCGAGGTAGTAGCTACTTAATATACTAGCTACCTAGCTACTACCTCCCTCTACGGCCTACCCCCGCGGGCTTAAAAGAAAAACTCTATATAGCTGCTTTTTGAAAAATCGACCTCCGGGCACCTCCAGTGCACAGGCCGCATGCGCGGGCTGTGCGAATTGGATGAGCGCATCAGCCCCCACGCCAATCGCGTGGGAGCGGCGACGGATGTAGGCGATCTCACCAGTGGTTGCGAACGGAGTCTGAAAAAACAAAAAAATAAAAAGGCATTAATCAATGGATCCCTCTGGCCAATTTCTACACAGTCAAATGGCTCAGGTTTGATGCACTTCCCAAATGTAGTTATATAACTAATCCATAGCTCAGACACGGTGAAACGGCCTTCCCAAAGCACTCCATGCGTTGCCGCAGCACTTGCATGGTCAAATGGTATGGTACCTCTCACGTGCCAAGGCAACACTCGACCAAGGCGAACTGCGCAAAAGGAGGACTGCCGCAGAGCGCACTGGGCTGATCACAAGCTGAGCTTCGGGGCTTTCTTTGGCCTCAGCAAGATTCAATAGTTTGTGGAAGGTCGAAGACACGTGACTTCATGCTCTATTTGAAAAAGCTATCGATGGTTGCTTTGAAAAAACAAGGCAATTGTTCAATCAACCCGGAAGCATCTCGAGTGCACCAGCTTGCCTGAACGGTGCTGCGACTGGAGAGGCCAATGGCCCTCACACGACCCACTTTGTCCAGGAGCTGGCACACCGACAAGCAAACAAGTGCATCGCTACTAGTAACAAGTGCCTTACTAGTAGTAACAAGAAGCTATTAGTAACAAGTGCCACGCTAGTAGTAACAGGTGCCTTAC